TTGCCGAGTACCCAGGTGGGATGTCCATGAAAACCTCTTCTTCTAAATTACCATGGAGGAATGCGTTCTTCACATCAAATTGGTGTAATGGCCAATCTAAATTTGCTGCAAGAGATAACAAAACTCTAACAGTGTTTAGTTTTGCTACTGGTGAGAAAGTTTCTTGGTAATCTATACCATACGTCTGTGTGTACCCCTTTGCCACAAGCCTCGCTTTGTGCCTATCAATGGACCCATCAGCATTATATTTAATGGAGAAGACCCATTTGCACCCTACTGTTTTCTTTCCTTCAGGTAATGAGACCAGCCTCCAAGTCTCATTTTTTTTCAAAGCCTTCAATTCTTCTTTTATCGCTTGACTCCATTGTGGGTCAAGTAATGCGTCTTTTACATTTCGAGGAATGTAATCTGAGGACAGTTTATGTGCAAAGGCCTTGAGTGGTTCGGATAGTCTGTGAGTGGACACATAGTTGGAAATAGGATATTTGGATCTTCTATCTTCCACTTCTGGAGAGTATCGGCTTGGTGGTTTGCCACGTTTATGTCTGAAAGGCAACACATACTGCACAGGACTATTCATGTTATCAGTAAAAGAGGATATGGTAAAGGAATTTACCTCAGTGATATTCTCAGGAGAGGGGCCGTCGGGTACTAAAGAGGGGGAACCATCACTTGTTGTTGCATCATTTGAAGGCATATCACTGACAGGTGCATGTGTTTCATTACATTCCATATTGCACGACTTTTCAAGTGTTTCAGTACATTCCATATTGCATGGTTTTTCAATCTCAATATTTCCATCATTATGTTGTTCTGATTCACCCTCCAATTCTAGCCATGTTGTTGCTAGCCAATTTACCTCTTCATCTGGAAGCTCCTCCTGAAGAGATGATTTGGCTGTAGGTGATGGATAGAAAGTCTTTTCTTCGAGAAAGGTGACATCCATGGTGATGTATGTGCGTTTAGTGATGGGGTTGAAGCATCGATACCCTTTTTGATGCAGAGCATATCCTAAGAAGAGACATCGGACTGCACATGGATCCAACTTGGTTCGTTGGTTTTTATGGATATGAACAAAGACAACACATCCAAAGATCCGGGGAGGAAGCATTAACACAGTGGGTAAAGATGTATGGCTCGAGAGAGTCTGCAAGGGAGTCTGAAAATGGAGGACTTTTGAAGGCATTCTGTTGAGTAAATATACGGCTGTGGAAACTGCATCATCCTAATGCCGAGAAGGCACATGTGCTCCAATCAACAAAGCTCGTGTTGTCTCTAAGATATGTCGATTTTTTCTCTCGGCAATGCTATTTTGTTGAGGAGTTTGGGAACAAGAGGTTTCATGAATGAGGCCATGGTGTTGGAAGTAAGCCTGGAATTTTGTATTGACATATTCACCTCCATTGTCGGTACGGAGGGCCTTAATGTTAGCAGAAAATTGTGTTTGAATCATCACATGAAACGACTGAAACACTCCAAACACTTCATCTTTCCGTTTCAGCAAATACAACCAAGTCATTCTAGTGCAATCATCAACAAATATGACAAACCATTTATTTCCAGATGGAGTAATAACAGGGGAAGGTCCCCATACATCTGAATGGAATAAAGAAAAAGGCATGTCTTTTTTTGTGTGGCTTACGGGGTAAGGAACTCTATGACTCTTGGCTACAATACATGTCTCACATTTAAATGATAAGTGTTGTAATGTAGAAAACAAAGCTGGAAAGAGATGTTGTAAATATCCAAAGGAGGGATGTCCCAAGCGATTATGAAGAAGCCAAATTTGCCGTTCTTTGTCAGTGGTTGTGTGTCTGATCTGATTGGCTTTCCCTAAACTGAAGTCATCCATGTAGTAGAGTCCCCCTTTTTTAGTACCACGCCCAATGATCTCCTTGGTGAGAATATCCTGAAGAAGACAAAAAGTAGGATACATTAATACAACACACTTAAGGTCAGTTGTAACTTGACTGACAGAGAGCAATTTATTTGATAAAGATGGAACAAGTAAGGTATGGTTTAGGGAGAGAGAGGAGGATAAGGCCACTGTTCCCGCTCCCGTGACTGGATATTGGACTCCATTAGCATTTGCAATACAAGTTCTCCTGGGTTGAGTGATATGTGAAAAATCATGAGAATCGAAAGTCATGTGATCAGTAGCCCCGGAGTCTATAATCCACATGCTATCATCGTGATCATGACATGTAATCAACACTTGTCCACAGTTACCTTGATCACTGAGAGGTGTGGAAGGATTCGTCGATTCTGGTTGAGCAATGAAAGATAGTTGTGGTTCAGCACTTGCAACAGCTGCCTTCCCTGTGCCTTCATTAGTGCCAGGCCCCTCACGTTTTTTCCTTGCCTGAAAATCATTCCACCACTCAGGATACCCATGTAACTTAAAGCAAGTTTCACGGGTATGTTTCATGTTGCCACAATGGGTGCATTTCCCTCCATCAGATTGAGGTTTTGATTTTGGTTTTCCAGGTTTGAATCCTCTGGATGCCATAACTGCACCTGGAGCAATGTCACTACTGGATGTCATTACTGCTTGCCTAATGTCTTCACGTCGGACATGAACATATGCCTGCTCAACTGTAGGGAAGGGTTGTAATTGAAGCATATCACTTCGAACCTTGTCCAATTGATCATCTAAGCCATCGAGGAAGACATATACTCTATCTTCCTGTAAAATGGAGTTATATTTCTGAATATCCCCTGCACATTTCATTGGGTTAGGACGACGAAAATCAATTTCGTGCCATAAACCTTGAAGATCATTGTAATATTTTTCAATGGATCTACCCGCCTGTCTCATGCGAGTTACACGACGCCGAAGGTCATATACTTGGGATTTATCAGTTCCATCAAAAAAAGTTGTAGCAATTGAATCCCATACCTGTTTAGCAGTTGGGAATCGAATAAAATTACCAATCAAGGAGGGGTCCATTGAGTTGATTAGCCATCCTTTGACAATGGCATTTTTAGTTCTCCATTTCCGGAAAAATGGATCAGTTTCGAGAGGTTGTGGAGAGTCGCCAGTAATATATCCCAGTTTGTCTTTCCCTGAGATATACATCTCAACAACTTGGGACCATTAGGCATAGTTGGAATCACCCAACTTAATGCCAATAGGAGCATTTGAGGAATCGGATGAGGTCTGAGAGGAGGTATGGACTTTGGTCAAGGCCTCTGTTATTTTAGTTGTCCAGTCATCGAGAGTGGACTCTGCCATGGTTGCCGAGATCCTAGGATCTTGCTCTGATACCATGTCAAAAGTTTCTGTTTTTTTCCAATCTATTTTTCCCATAACAGAGTACACTAGTATATGTAGATACACGGTAAGCTATTCTAGGATATACATGATCTAAGGCTATTGCTATGGCTGAAGAAGACTCTGTATTCTGAAGAAGCAAGAAGAATAAACAACAATTGCTATGGCTGGAGGTTTGTAAATTACTTTTGCATATATTCCATGAGTATTTAGATGTTTATAATTGATTGTATTATGAACTTTTATATGAACATTGGAATAGAAATGTATTTACATTTGGTAACAGAGCCTTGTTTGAATCTCTGCCTTGTAAGAAATTGTTTGTTGCAAATTTGGACAATATTGCATAGATTTGGAATTTTTTCAATTAAAACCTGTACTATAAATCAAGCATAACTTTTATTATAAATAGAATCTGTTTTCGATTTTGGTGTCATTGGAATCCATGTTGAAAAAGCTTTCCAACGATATATTATTTGTCAAAAATGGAGTTATGATTGCAAAGTTATGCTAGTTTAAAATTTCGGTTAGAAATTGTCATTTGGGTGTTTTTGGTAGCCATTTACGGCACCGATTTGAGACGAAAATGTCATTTGGGATGTCACCGATATAGGTCATACATCCGCATTCAAGTTTCCCCTCTAAAACGCTGAAAAAATGGCCAGAATCGGGCTGTTAAAATCTGCAAAAAATAGGTTAAAAGTTACAGAAAACGGGTCAAGAAGAACCGATCCAATTGGGAAAACAGGTCAAATCGACTTGGCCACAGTCAAAGATTAGAACGGGTCAAACGACCCAGTCAAACCAGCCAGAAACCTGACGGGTCAACTCAACCCGGTGCGTCAATGAGCCAACCGGTCAACGAACTGGTCAACAGGTCAAACTGGGTCAATGAACTAGGTAGAAGGTCAACCCAACCTGGTCAAATGGGTCAAACTAACCTGAGTTGACTAATGGCGCATATGGGTGCGTGTGCTTGCGTCAGGCGCATGGGGATATGTGTACAGGCGCATGCAAGTGCGTGGTAGTGCCATGTAGGCGTGTGGTAGGGCCGTGTAGGCGTGTGCAAGCACGTGGTGGGCCCTTAAGGCGCATGAAGGCACGTGCAAGGATATGTTGGCTTCTGGAGGAGCGTGAATGTGCATGGGGATATGTGGCTGCGTGCGGTTTGGTCACGGTGGCGCATGGGAGTTGGTGACATCACGTATGATAGTTTTTAAGTCATGTATTACGTTGTTATGCATAAATAATGTGTTATTCTTGTATTGATTTGTGTTCTATTATATTATATGCAATAACTCATGTTATAATTATTTGATGTTTTATGATCGTATATATTTGATTAATTTAGAGTAGTCACAACATCTAAATTATGATAATATATGCATTAAGTAATATTAGTTTGTGATCATATTAAAGTTAATAACATCGTTTTGTAGTTAATCATATTAATACAATCATTTTACCCACAGGGAATGTTATATTTTCATGATTAATTAGGGATGAAATAGAAATTATTCTTATTTCTTAATTAGCCCACAGGTATTATGAAATAATAATAATTTCTAGTTTCATCATTAAAGGATAATGAATCATAATATGTAATGTCTTTATCCACAGGGAGATTTTATGATATGTCGATTCATTTATGATTTATTATTTGTTTTACATTAGTAAACTTATAATTGTTATTGATGGTTTGCGCCTCATAATTTTTTTAGTAAGCATGTCTATTGATATACTTATAGTTGATCAAACCTTGATGATGGTTGAGGATAAGGTTCCTAATTTAAATGGTGATAACTACAAATCCTGGAGAGAGGCTGTCCTTCTTCATTTAGGGTGCATTGATCTTGATTATGCTTTTCGTAAGGAAGAGCCACCTACACCAACATATACTAGTTCTCAAGCTGGGATTTCTTTGTATGAACGGTGGGAGCAATCCAACCGTTTAAGCATGATGTTTATCAAATCTCACATTACGAGTAGTATTCGTGGGTCAATACCAGAGTGTGAAAATGTCAAGGATCTAACGGATGCAATTCATGTACAGTTTGAAACATCAGACAAGGCATTAGGTAGCACCCTAATGAGTAGATTGACATCCATGAAGCTCACTGGTATTAAAGGAGTTCATGAGCGTATTACGAAAATGAGGGACATTGCTACTCAGTTGAGATCCCTTCAGATGGTGATTAATGATGATTTTTTGGTGCATTATGTCCTGAACTCTCTCCCGTCTCATTATATTCCTTTCAAGATATCTTATAACACATAAAAGGATAAATGGTCAATCAATGAGCTTTTGACCATGTGTGATCAAGAAGAGGAGAGACTGTTTCAGGAAGTGAATGAAACTGCACATATGGTGATAGGAAATGTCAAGTACACTTCAAATAAGAATAACAAGTGGAAGGGAAAAGGCAAGCTGCATGAGGTTACGAGCAAAGGAAATAAGGACAATATCAAGTGTTTCTTCTGTAAAAAGAAGGGACACATGAAGAAGGATTGTCCTAAAAGGAAGGCCTAGCTTGATAAGAAAGGTAGTGTGTCATGAATCTAATATGATTTGTGTTTCACATAATGATTAGTGGATTGATTCTGGTTCTACAATCCATGTTTCTAATACCATACAAGGTTTTCTGGATCAAAGGAAGTCGTTGGGAAGTGAATGCAGCATCTATTCGAGAAACAGGATGCCTTCACATGTTGAAGCTGTTGGAACATTTAGACTTATTTTAAGCACTAATTATATTTTGGATTTGGAACGAACCTTTTATATTCCTAGTTTTTCTAGTAATTTAATTTCAGTTTCTAAACTTGTACCTTGTGGATACTCTTTCAACTTTTATGGTAGTTCTTTTAATTTAATTAAGAACTCATATATTGTTGGAAATGGTACTTTGGTTGATAGTCTGTTTAAAATTCATTTAAGTGATGTTATTCCTTATAGTCTTATGACTTCACATGCCAGTACTGGTATGAAACATATTGTTATGTATGAAAACTCTTCTTTTTTGTGGCATAGGAGATTAGGACACATCTCCATTGATAGGATTAAAAGGTTGGTAAATGCTGGAGTTCTTGAAACTCTTGACTTTACTGATGTATGAAAACTCTTCTTTTTGTGGCATAGGAGATTAGGACACATCTCCATTGATAGGATTAAAAGGTTGGTAAATGCTGGAGTTCTTGAAACTCTTGACTTTACTGACTTTGATACTTGTGTAGACTACATTAAGGGAAAGCAGACTAACAAATCCAAGAAGGGTACCAGTTCTAAACTTGTAGAAATCATACACACATATATTTGTTACCCTGACATGAGCTTTAGTGGCCAGAAATATTTCATCATGTTTATTGATGATCACTCACGATATATGTATCTCTATTTGCTTTATCACAAGGATGAAACGTTGGATGTTTTCAAAATATATAAAGCAGAAGTAGAGAAACAATGTGGAAAACAAATTGAGATCGTGAGGTCTAATAGAAGTGGTGAATATTATGGTAGATACACTAGTACGGGACAAGCACTTGGTCCATTTACTAAATTTCTTCAAGAGCACACCTTGACTAGCACACCATCTCAGAATGGTGTAGCAGAACGGAGAAATAGAACATTAATGGATATGGTACGGAGTATGCTGAGTAATTCCAAACTTCCTCATTCTTTATGGATTGAAGCTCTCAAAACTACATCGTATATATTAAACCGAGTTCCAACTAAGGTGGTTCCTAAAACGCCATTTGAGTTATGGAAAGGTTAGAAACCAAGTTTAAGTCATTTACACGTTTGGGGTTGCCAATTGAAGTTAGAGTTTATAATCCATAAGAACGGAAGTTAGATCCTAGGACTATTAGTGCATATTTTATTAGATATGCAGAAAAATCCAAGGGATATAAGTTTTATTGTCCGAACCATTCCAGTGGAATTGTTGAATCAAGAAATGTCAAATTTCTTGAAAACAATGTGGTCAGTGGGAGTGATCAAATCAGAGACTTAGTCCCTGAGAAAATTGATGTTTTAGACAATGCTCCTCCATTAAGTAAAAGATTGGTTGTTCATCCAAATAGTGTGAATAATGAGGAACCACTCAGTCAAAGTACACATTCTGATGAGATTGTTCTAGAAGATCATTTTGAACAACCTCCACTACAGAAGAAATAACCAGTTGTGCAACAGTCTCAATAGGAGACTGTTGATACAACACTAAGGAGATCTACTATAATAAAGAAATCAGCAATTCCTACTGATTATGAAGTGTATATGAAAGAGTCTGACTGTGACATAGGTATTGAGGATGATCCAGACACGTTTTACAAGCTATGGATAGTAGTAAATCTGAGTTATGGTATAATGCCATGATTGATGAGATGAATTCTATGGTAGATAATAAAGTTTGGGACCTTGTTGAGTTGCTTACTGGAAAGAAACCTATTGGTTGTAAATAGGTATTTAAAACCAAAAGAGATTTATTAGGCAACATTGAGAGATACAAGGTTAGGCTTGTTGCCAAGGGATTCTCACAAAGGGAAGGGATAGATTATAAAGAAACAATTTCTCTAGTTTCTAAAAAGGATTCCTTTCGTATCATAATGACATTAGGTGCCCATTTCGATTTAGATTTACATCAAATGGATGTGAAAACAGCTTTGCTCAATGGAGACTTAGAGGAAGAGGTTTATATGAAACAACCTGATGGGTTCATTTCAAGTGATAGTAAGCCTTTGTTTTGCACGCTTAAGAAGTCCATTTATGGACTTAAGCAACGCCTGACAGTGGTATTTAAGATTTCACACTGTTATCTCTTCATTTGGTTCTGTAGAGAATGTCATAGATCAGTGTATATACCACAAGGTCAATGGGAGTAAAATCATCTTTCTTGTGTTATATGTCGATGATATTCTACTTGCAACCAATGATTTGGGTTTGCTGCATGAGGTGAAACAGTTTCTCTCTCAACATTTTAGTATGAAGGACATGGGTGAGACGTCTTATGTCATTGGCATTAAGATTCATAGGGATAGGACTCAACATGTTTTGGGACTATCTTAGGAAACCTATATTAACAAAATTCTTGAGAGATTTAGGATGAAGGATTGTTCACCCAGTGTTGCACCCATTGTTAAGGGTGACAGGTTCAATCTGAACCAATGTCCTACACTTGAGATTGGAAAGGAACAAATGAAAACTATTCCTTATGCTTCAGCTATTGGAAGCCTAATGTATGCTCAAGTTTGTACTAGACCTGACATTGCTTTTGCAGTTGGCATGTTAGGAAGATATCAAAGTAATCTAACTTTGGATCATTGGAGAGTTGCAAAGAAGGTCATGAGGTATCTTTAAGGAACTAAAGGTTTCATGCTTACTTATAGACGGTCCGACATTTTAGAAGTCGTCAGATATTCAGACTCAGACTTTGCTGGTTGTGTTGATTCTTGGAAATCAACATCCGGATATGTTTTTATGCTTGCCGGAGGTGCTGTATCTTGGAGAAGTGCCAAATAATCTTTGGTTGCCAATTCTACCATGGAAGCCGAGTTTGTTTCTTGTTTTGAGGCCATTACACAGGGTATTTGGTTGAGAAGTTTCATTTCTAAGCTTGGAGTTGTTGAGTCTATCTCTAGGCCAATAAGGTTGTATTGTGACAATTCAACTGTTGTATTCTTTGCTAAGAATAATAAGAGTGGAAGTCGAAGTAAACACATCGACATTAAGTACTTCGCAATAAGGGAGCACATTAATGCCAAAGAAGTGCTCATCGAACACATACATACCGAGCAGATGATTGTTGATCCTCTAACAAAAGGCATGCCACCAAAGATGTTCAAGGATCATGTAGTTCAAATGGGACTATGTCCCGCTTTGTCATTATGAGAGGTAATACTTTCATTCTCTGAAACTTTGTAATTTAGTTTGTTTTCTCTTTTAAGTTGTATACATTTTGGTTAGAGACAAACAAACATTCTGGAGGACCTGGAACAAACATTTGAGGTTTGTTCTTAAAGTAATATTCCACATTTAAGCGTTTATTTAGAAAGAGAAAAATTGCATAGTAATACATGGAAGGTAATACTTGTTTAAAAGGGATTTACCGCTATGATTCATGTAATTTTTTTTTTTTCTGATTAAACATACAACATATACATCTCCTATGTTCTGGATTATATCATAAAAGTTTGGACCAAGTGGGAGAATGTTAGACTTTTAATTATATTATGGTCCTACACTTTTAATATAATTATATTATGGTCCTATACTTTTAATATAATTATATGATGGCTGATGTGGATTATAATAAAAAATACATTAAAGGAGATTTTACAGGTCCCCATTTGATGCAATTTTTCATTTTTGATTCCCAAAACCGTCGCTCTAAAAATTGCAGTTAGTGGAAGACTCCGTATTCTAAAGAAGCGAGAAGACTAAACAACAATTGCTATGGTTGAAGGTTTTTTAAATTACTTCTGCATATATTCCATGAGTATTTAGATGTTTATAATTGATTGTATTATGAACTTTTATATGAACATTGGAATAGAAATGTATTTACACAAAAAGCATACACAAGACACTGACTTTCTTAGTTCAACTATTTAATATTCTACATACGCCTAAGAAATAGTAGATGTTGCCATTTTCTATGTAAAGGAAAACAAAGAGAACAAGATCCCCCACACCCAAACTCCACCACTGAAGTGAAAGTACATTATATATCCAAACCTGAGAGTTTGCACCCTACCATCATAGACAATAGAATAACTTCATTAGAAAAAATCTACTTTCTATGATGCCAGACTGAAGAGCATAATCAAATATTCTAAAATCTAAACTATTTAATCTGGTGTAATACAAGAAACACTTCAAAATTCGTTGTCCAGGAATTTATAATCACAGTAAAAAGAAACAGAACCATTAACATATCCCATGTCAGGAGTCAGGACGGCATGTTGCCTTCCAATATACAACCTCTCTTTCGATGGCAAAAAAGCACCATAACCCTCCAAACACCTACTGAGGACTAGCAAGCCACTTGTTGATCAGCAAGATATGCACAACTCAGAAAGAAAATACTACTTAGGCTACGCAAAGCATTAATAATATTCTAGGCTCACGCCTATTATTAAGTTAAATTAATGAGAGATTATTTGAGAATAAAAGCATGGTGAACTCTTAGATGGCCATGACTCAAAGGATATTAGAATTAAAGGACTTTTGAGGTGGAATGCCAACAAATCATCAACATGTCTGTTGATGCATGATTTTGACACCAA